AGGACCAGCTTATCGGTATATCATATCACATAATAATTATCAGGACCAGCTTATCGGTATATCATATCACATAATAATTATCAGGACCAGCTTATCGGTATATCATACAACATAATAATTATCAGGACCAGCTTATCGGTATATCATATCACATAATAATTATCTGGACCAGCTTATCGGTATATCATACAACATTATAATTATCAGGACCAGCTTATCGGTATATCATATCACATAATAATTATCAGGACCAGCTTATCGGTATATCATACAACATAATAATTATCAGGACCAGCTTATCGGTATATCATATCACATAATAATTATCAGGACCAGCTTATCGGTATATCATACAACATTATAATTATCTGGAACAGCTTATCGATATATCATATCACATAATAATTATCAGGACCAGCTTATCGGTATATCATACAACATAATAATTATCAGGACCACCTTGTGTTTATGGTTTTATATCAAATTACTTATCAGTATTTTTCTTTTCCTGAAGAAGGTATTTTATAACAGTTTTAATTAGTTATCAGGACAAATGTCATGACTAGATTAGTTTTAAGAAATACTATTTATGGATATGTTATTAAATCAAACCATTTATTGAAATTGGGTTCTCAGTAAAGATTAGGAGTTTGTTAGTTTCTTATACATCGGAAAATGTTTTCTACATTTCAAAGAATCGGCTGTTTTCTCTGTTGATGATTGAGTATATTATGATTGAGTAAATTATTGAGTATATTATGATTGAGTAAATTATTGAGTTATTGAGTATATTATGATTGAGTAAATTATTGAGTGTATTATTAAGTATATTATGATTGAGTAAACTATTGAGTATATTATTAAGTATATTATGATTGAGTAAATTATCTTGTTTCTGTTGCTCTTTCGTTTTAAGTGTGATAACTTCAACATTCCAAGGGGCAAAAAATAAAATATTTCCTGAGAAAAAAAATTATTAAAATATTTTAACAATCAAATACACGTCGCTTATCTGAATAATTTATATGTTGAGGTTCGTTTATTTTTGTTGATTAATCTTATCCGGATTTTGTATTGAAAGAGTTTCTCTATTAGACTGCAATATAGAAATATTGTTCCGAAACAGTTTTCTCTATCAGAGTTCAATATCCGGATTTTGTACCGAAACAGCTTTCTATATTAGACTTCAATATCCAGATATTGTACTGAAACAGCTTTCTATATTAAACTTCAATATCCGGATATTGTACTGAAACAGCTTTCTATATTAGACTTCAATATCCAGATATTGTACTGAAACAGCTTTCTATATTAAACTTCAATATCCGGATTTTGTACCGAAACAGCTTTCTCTATCAGAGTTCAATATCCGGATTTTGTACCGAAACAGCTTTCTCTTGTAGAATTCAGTATCCGGATATTATACTGAAACACCCTTTTCCATTAGACCTCAATATCCGAATAGTTTACTGAAACACGTTTCTCCATTAGACCTCAATATCCGGATAGTTCACTGAAACACCTTTCTCCATTAGACCTCAATATCCGGATAGTTCACTGAAACACCTTTCTCCATTAGACCTCAATATCCGGATAGTTTACTGAAACACCTTTCTCTATAAGACTTTAATATCCGGATAATGTATTGAAACAGCTTTCTCCATTAGACCTCAATATCCGGATAGTTACTGAAACACCTTTCTCCATTAGACCTCAATATCCGGATAGTTTACTGAAACACCTTTCTCCATTAGACCTCAATATCCGGATAGTTTACTGAAACACCTTTCTTTATAAGACTTTAATATCCGGATAATGTACTGCAACAGCTTTCTTTTACCCGAATTGGTCTTTGGTTCAGAATTATGTTAAAATTTAATTCTTATCTTGGGTTTGGCATTTTTCGTTATTTCTTTTTCTGGATCTTTGAGGCCTGTTTCATGAAAACTGGTTTTAAAATACAAAAACTAAATATGAATCTACGTCTTTCCTTTGATTCACTGAGTTATACTAGTTTCGGGGTTGGTATTCCACCCTTCAACAGTCTTCTCTTTGATTCACTTAGTTATACCAGTTTCGGGGTGGTATTCCACCCTTCAACAGTCTTCCCTTTGATTCACTGAGTTATACCAGTTTTGGGGAATTTTACCCTTCAACAGTCTTCCCTTTGATTCACTGAGTTATACCAGTTTCGGGGTGGAATTTTACCCTTCAACAGTCTTCCCTTTGATTCACTGAGTTATACCAGTTTCGGGGTGGAATTTTACCCTTCAACAGTCTTCCCTTTGATCACTGAGTTATACCAGTTTCGGGGTGGAATTTTACCCTTCAACAGTCTTCCCTTTGATTCACTGAGTTATACCAGTTTCGGAAAATTCTACCCTTCGTCAGTAATCCCAGACAATGTGACACTGAAAAACAAGGCCTGATATAGTGATGAAATGTTTATTATTTTTGTAAAATATCTTGATATAGTTAAAAATGAAGGCTATGATAAAAATTTATCATGAAATTGTTTTTATTCTTTATGCAGTTGACTAACATTTATTTTTATTCTCCAATAGGATTGTTTCATTGATTGTGTGCACGATCTGAGTTTAAAACTTTGTAACTGTACTGATCCATCCCTGAAACTAGGAGAAGATGTTAAAATATGTTCATTGGAATCGGATGCACACGGTAAGGAACTTTTGTTTATTTTAAAGTTTCTGCATAAACTTACACAAGAGGCTATATTCTCAACAGTATAATAGCTAGTCAACAGTATGACAGCTACTCAACAGTATGATAGCTAGTCAACAGCATGATAGCTAGTCAACAGTATGATAGCTACTCAACAGTATGATAACTAGTCAACAGTATGATAACTAGTCAACAGTATGATAGCTAGTCAACAGTATGATAGCTAGTCAACAGTATGATAGCTAGTTAACAGTATGATAACTAGTCAACAGTATGATAGCTAGTCAACAGTATGACAGCTAGTCAACAGTATGATAGCTAGTCAACAGTATGATAGCTAGTCAACAGTATGACAGCTAGTCAACAGTATGATAGCTAGTCAACAGTATGATAGCTAGTCAACAGTATGATAGCTAGTCAACAGTATGACAGCTAGTCAACAGTATGACAGCTAGTCAACAGTATGATAGCTAGT